GCACTCTCCTCTTTCACCCTCATTAAGAGGTTCTTTAATTCCTCCTCACTTTCTGCCATCACAGTGGTATCATCTCTGTTTAGATGAGCCCTAATCAGGATGGATTTTATATACTGGCTCAGATAACTCAGGAGAGATAACTTCTGAGATTTTTTCATTATCCCATTAGAAAGCAATTCACATTCAGTTGTGGCCATCAATTCGAGACACCTCCCATATCCAGTACTGTAGCTAGATAGTTCAGTCAGTAAAGTATCTGGTTGCAAAATCAGACATTGGGAAATTGATTCCCCATTGTGGTTCCCAGAAGTAGAACCAGTGTGTTTAACCTTGGGCAAGCTGCACAGGATGCTTCTAGTACAGTGGTGGGACTCAGCAGGTTCGCACCAGTTCTACAGAACCGGTAGCTAATGTATTATTGGTTCTGCAGAACCGTTTGTTGGCCTGCTGAATCCCACCACTGTTCTAGTAGAATCGAATGGTAAGCAACTTCTGAGGACTCTACCTAAAAAAACCCTGGAAAGGTTGCCATAAGTCAGAGTTGACTTACTGGCATACAATTATCATTACCATGTGCAACAATATCTGGATCAATGGCTGTGTTTAGGTTTATTTCTGACACTTCAGCTATGTTATACAACATTTGGCCCTGCAGAACAAATGATAGTAGTCTACCTTGCCTTCATCATCCTCCACCAAGAATCGTCCTGAGTCTGAAATCTTGACAACTGCACCAATAGGTACATTAAACTCACTGCTTGAAGGGGATTCCAGCCATATGTGATCACCCTGGGGGGGCGGGAGAGAAGAGGATTTAATAAAATCATAAGATCTTAGAAAAGTGAAGTTGGAAGGAGAGTTCAAGGCCATCAATTCCAAACCCTTGCTGAACGCAGGAATACAATCAAAGCATATATGCCAGGTGATGACCTAAGTTTTTCCTTGAATGCCTCCAGTGTTGGAGAACTCACCAACTCCCAAGGTAACTGATTCCACTGTTGTACTCCTCTAACAGTTAGGAAGTATTTCCTGATATTCAACTGAAATCTGAATTAGGAATTTCATTAATTCAACTTAAAAATTAAGATTCAATGCAAATACCAGTAGTAAGACCTTAAACTAAAATATTCCATTGTTAGAAAAGTCAGACATATTACTGCAATCTCCAATAGAAATGTAGAAGCATTCAGCTCAACTTTTCCCTTTCCTTTCCTTCCACACATGGTTGGTATGGGCAAAAAGGCTCTCTAAAGCCTGAGGCTGGGCCAGGCTGGCAAGTCATTACTTTGGGTGGCAACTTTAACTCTGACCATCTGATAGAAGAGTACCTCTCTGCTAAGAAGTGTAATGCATTTTTCTCCTGCCCCTCCAAATAATACTTGTGATTGTCTTCTTCCCCTTTTCAGGGAAATGAATAGCCTGCAACTCTTAACCCTAGCCCTGATTCATCAGCTTCTCCCTTGCTTCATACGCCCTACAAAGTAGCTCAAGTTTATCTTGTTTGAGGCTTGATTAATTTCATACTGTTATGTATTCTCTGATCTTCTTGCACACTCTAAAAATGTATTGCTCTAGAACAGTTTATTGCCAACTATTGTGATTTCTGTTGCCTCCATAAAGTGTTTTATTACTTTACCTCTCAAACTGTAAAATGCAGGATCAACAGCTATACAGTACTAGAATTGTATGGACTAATTTAGCCATCAAATAATTTGCCAAATATACATAAATCTCAGAGACCACTGGTAATGTTGCGGCTAAAAAATCTTGTCAATCAATCAATCAATCAATCAATCAATCAATCAATCAATCAATCAATCAATCCATCAATCAATCCATCAATCAATCCATCAATCAATCTCACTTTAACAGAAAACTAGAGCCACCATCCACATCAGAGAGTGTTTAGAGATAATTATTTTTGTTTCCATAATAGGACAAACCAATTAAATTGTAATTCAGCTCTATGCATCTATGGTTTGTAGATGACATACGGTGTTGACATTTGTAACACTTAAATGATTTATTCATTTAATTAATATTAACAGGGCTCAAGGTAATCCACAGCAGTTAAATTCAATGTAAAATCAAATACAACTAAAAGATAAAGCAGATTTCAAATGCAATTAAAAACAGATCAATTTTTAAAAAAACAGATTATTTCAGTTAAAACCAAGCTAATGTCAAATGCCTGTCTGAATAAACACCAGGGCAACAAAAGAGGAGCCAGCTTCTCTCTGTCTCATAGGGAGGGGATTCCAAAGCCTGCAAAGAGGCAGGAAAAAAGGTCTGATGCACATCCCCATAGATATGCCTTGAAAAGCAGCAGGGCTAAGAAGTGCCTTCTTCTAAAACACAGGCAAGCTCCTCCCTGTCCCCTGCTCTCAGCTGTAGCCTCTTCTGTTACACAGAAAGTGATGACTGAGTCTCTCTATAGTGCAGGGGAATGAAGAGGGAAAGCACATGTTACTAAAAATTGGAAGGAGCCATCTTTCAGAGCTCCTATTCACAGAAGGTACATTTGTTCAAGGGCTTCTATCTTTTCCTGTCATTCTCTGTATCACAGCCCACCTGAATTAGCAGAATCCCTGATGCACGTGTTACAATTTTAAGGAGCTGTCAAAGAAAGGAACGTGTGAGGAAATTCATTTTGCCCACTTTGTTAAACATGTGTAACTCTGGATCCAAGCTGTAGTTTACTGGGGTGCTTTTGATTAAATAAAACAGAAGAAATTAGGCAAACAACAACAAACAAAAAAACCCACCACCACTTAGCTGTGTCTCAGCTTAGGTTTTAATTTACGCAATCATCAAAATGTAATGCTAAAGTGAAGGATTAGACTTACTTTTCTGAGAACCACCATCCTGCTTCAAGATGATACATACAGTCTATACTTAAAAAAAGAGAAAATCAAAAAGTGTAAAATCTTCCAGCAAAAAAATAAATGGAAAATGCAAACCATCAGGGAATTAACTGAACAGCTTGTAGAAGTGCAGAAAGTATTCATTCATTGCACTGATAATGGAAAAGTGGCAGATGGGGCACAGACCAATCCCAGATTATATTGTACACACATATATGTTCTCATTTTCAAGAGTCTAAACATGTTGGCCAGTGCTGCTTGTATAAGATTTGAATAACTTGCCACAGCTAATTGCTGCAATGCTAGTGCACCTCCGTTTCTTATGCCTGGTCATACACCCAGTTGTGAAACAAGATGTACTCTGGCACCTCACCACAATTATGGTAAGGTACACAAACCATACTTGAATACCTTTAGAATCCCAGCGGTTGATTTAACATCTGCACTGCAAGTAATTTTATTTCAAAATTATGGGCCTGTTTTCCTCTAGCAGCTGATAGAAAGGTCAAAACAATCATTCTATGGACATTGAACCCCTGAATTTCCACCATATGTAATTTTTAGATATTAAAGGCTCCCCCACCAGCACCAAGGCTTCCAAAGGTTTTCCCAAATCAAAAGAAAGCATTGGAACACAATGTGGGGGGATAGGAGACTTTAAATTAAAGATTAATGTCCTTGGCTGATGACACCATCAGCCTTATGCCTGTGCAACTTCACCAACAGTATTCCAGCCAATGTTTCTTACATATGTATTAAACATTATTATAATGCAAACTACCTGAATATAAACTCTGTTGTAACATATATATTGTTATCATATCAAGTATATCCATTCCTATGATATTAACAAGGAACTGAAACGGACCAGGCAAAGCGTTTATGTTCCTTCTGTGAGGAAGGGATTCTAGGTACCAATTCCTCCTTCAGATGAAAGAAGCAACAAAGAGACATTACCTGACTAGAAAAGAGACGGCGCTTTTGGTTGCCACTTTTCTTTCACAGAACGAGATAAGTGAAAAGGAGAAAGATGGTCCTCAAATGAGTAGAGAACTCAGAGCTGAAAAGACAGTTGTCTGTTCCATAAGGAAATGACTGAACTTCCTTTTACAGTTATTTATTACAGGACTTTGATCCTAGCATTCTGCAGTTGGCCATTTAAGTCAGGTGATCTTAATTACTGATGTCACGATGCCCGATGAGAGTTCTTGGTTGCGTGATCCCACAGGAAAACCTTTTCTAAACTGAAACTTGAGTGGAGATAAGAGAGATATATACAGTATATATATTGAGCTCTGAGTTCTCTACTCATATACTTGGATATAGGCCTCCCTCAATACCTTCAGTATGGATTGCTTAATTCTTTGCAAAACAACTTGCCATTAGCACTTACAGGCCAGAGCTCTACTGGTGATTCAAACATGTGTAGATTATATTGGGTACATTGTGGGAGTAAATTCCTACTAACTAACAAAGTTTGAATCACATTTCTGGTTGTATTTCACTTATAGATTTATAAATCACCAATAAGATTCTAGACTTAATTGAGCAAATTACTTTACTTTACAGATGATCCACAAAGTAGCTTTAAAATAAAAACCCTTAGTAAGTTATTTTCCACAGAAGTAAGCAAAGAGAATTTGTGGGATGAGCAAAATTCTAAAGCCAAGTCTGCTGAGTTTATTCAAAAATGTATGTTGGAACAAATGCATCGCAGACAGAAAGAAAACAAGTTTCATCAGCCACAATCCTTTTGCGTACCTTACACTGCACAAATGTGATTATGCCATCACCCATAGCCATGTTGTGGCCATTTGGGGGGTATTAAAAGTTCCTATTCCACTCCTCCCCAGTTCTAGGGATCCCGAAGGATCACCTTCATATTGGGAAAGCCTTTGAGAACTGCAGAACAGAGGAGGGAGCTTCAAAAACTGCCACTGCCAAAATAGCTGCAGCATGGCTATAGCTCAGTGGTTCTTAACATGGGCGATAATGCCCCCCAGGGGGCAATTTCATTTTTCAG